CTTTATGATAAAAATTGCCCTGTGAGAAGATACAAGAGAAAGAACAAAACTGTCAAATGTCCCTGGATGACCCGGGGATTACAAAATGCTTGTAAAAAAAAAAATAACTTGTATAAACAGTTCTTGAAAGCAAAAACCATGGAAGCTGAAAATAAATATAAGGTATATAAAAATAGGTTGACTACAATACTAAGAGCGAGTAGGAAACTGTATTTTGAAAAGTTATTAAATCAAAACAAAAACAACATCAAAGGAATATGGAATGTGATTAATGGCTTACTTAAAGATGAGGCCAATATCACAGATAACTACCCAGAGTATTTTATTGATGGTAATGACGAGATTTACAATAGGCAAAATGTGGTAAACAAATTTAATGAGTTTTTTGTAAAGGTGGGACCAGACTTAGCCGCTGGAATCCCTGAAAATGAAGGAGACCCATCACTAATTGAAAGAAATCAAAAAAGTATCTTTCTCTCAGGTGTAAATGAAACTGAAATCAAAGACATTGTTTGTAAGTGTAAAAATAAGTGCTCCACTGACTGTTTCGATATTGACATGAGATTAATTAAAAAAGTCATAGATTGCATAACAAAACCATTAACTTATATTTGTAACATTTCACTGCAAAATGGGTTATTTCCAAACAAAATGAAAACAGCTAAGGTAATTCCAATTTTTAAGTCTGGTAACAAGCACATCTTTACTAACTATAGACCTGTCTCTCTCCTTCCACAGTTTTCAAAGATCCTTGAGAAAGTTTTCAATGATAGACTTGAAAATTTCATTGAAAAACACTGCCTGATAAATGACGGACAATATGGGTTTAGACCTGGAAGATCGACCTCTATGGCCATTATTGATGCTGTAGAGGAAATTTCACGTTCATTGGATAAGAAAAAATAGCCGTTGGAGTTTTTATTGACTTGAAAAAAGCGTTTGATACGATTAATCATACAATCTTACTTGAAAAACTAGAGAAATATGGGATCCGAGGGGTAGCAGGGGAGTGGATTAAAAGTTATCTAACTGAGAGACAGCAGTTTGTAAAGATGGGTAAGTACCAATCTACATGCAAAACTATCACATGTGGACTGCCACAAGGTTCCATATTGGGGCCGAAATTATTCAATTTGTATATCAATGACATCTTCAATGTATCTGTACTTCTGAAACTGATTTTATTTGCTGACGACACTAACATTTTCTATGCAGATGATTGTTATGATGACGCTATAAACACTATTAATGAGGAATTGGCAAAAATTAAAACATGGATGAATAATAATAAGCTATCACTTAACCTTGAAAAAACGAAAGTAATTATATTTGGTAACTGCAAGGAAAACCCAAATATATCCATAACTATTGATGGTAAAGTAATACAAAAGGTAACAGAAATCAAATTTTTGGGAATAATAATCGACAAAAACTTAAACTGGAGATCTCACATTAATTACATACAAAAGAAAGTATCGAAAAATATAGCTATTATAAATAAAGCAAAGTGGGTACTCAACTATAACGCCTTGTACATCCTATACTTTAGTTTAGTTTATCCTTATTTATCATATGTTGTAGAAGTTTGGGGAAACAATTATAAAACTGCCATAAGAACATTGGAATTACTTCAAAAGCGAGCAGTACGAGTTATCCACAAGACGAGTTACCTGGAACACACACATTCACTCTTCTTACAGTCTAAATTATTGAAATTTGTGGATTTGGTGGATTTTTGCACAGCTCAATTGCTTTATAAAGCCAGTAAAAAATCTCTGCCGACCAACATTCAATCTCAATTTATAGAAAGAGAAGATGGCCGTAATTTCAGGGGAAATGGTAAACTTATACCAAATGCTGTAAGAACCACGAGGAGAAGTATGTGTGTCTCAGTGTGCGGTGTGCGACTGTGGAATAAATTGGATTGGAAGTTAAAACAATGTCCCACCATATACCATTTTAAAGTCAAATATAAAGAAAAACTTTTACAACAGTACAGTACACAGTGAAAATCCTTACTATAGTCATATAGTAGCAACACCATCATACATCATTTACTCACAATAACAGTATTATGGAGCTAAGGGTTGCAGTGTATGTTGATTCTTTACTAAATCATGTACTGTAGTATTTGTATTTTATTAAGTGTCAAAATCTGCAAAACACAATCTTGAGTCTGTACATGAACAGAGTATAAGTTATTGAATTAAAAGCTATGCATGAGTTATTAGAATTATTGATGTATATAATAAAGGTTACGCTACTACACAAACAACATAAGCAACCACCAAACATTTATGCACTGGGGGTGGGATTTAAAAAGTATTTACTTCTTCCCACTCCCTTTCGAACTTTCTTGTTGTCATTTTTTTTTTTTTTTTTTTTTTTTTGTATCTTGTATTAGTTTTGTTTTTTGCAATTTTGTATTGCTTCTCATATTTTGTATTTATTATTGTTTTTTCTTTTCCTTGTTTTTTCGAATGAGAATAGAAGTACAGAGTGTACAAAGTTTATTTTTTTATGCATTATGAAATGACATGGCATTTGGATTGACAACAAAGTTTGAAATAAAAAGATTGATTGATTGATTGATTGATTGTATGTCAGGCTCTGTGTTAGAGTGGTTTAGATCATACCTTACAGGTAGAACCTTTTGTGTGTCTTCAAACAACGTGGTGTCTGAATCCGCAGACCTACAGTGGGGTGTACCCCAAGGCTCCGTTCTTGGGCCTATTTTATTTATGTTGTACCTGCTCCCGCTAGGAAAGCTGATCCAGCAGTTCAGTGAGGTCTCCTACCACCTGTATGCAGACCATCTCCAGCTGTACTGCTCTTTTAAGCCCTCTGAGCCCCAGAGACTGGTTGCTCTCACTAACTGTCTGGACAAAATAAAGATATGGCTTAGTGAAAATAGCCTCCAGCTGAACTCCAGTAAAACAGAAACCTTAGTGTTAGCCCCGGACAGTATTGTTTCTGTTATTGCTCAGCACCTTGGTGACCTAAGTAGCTCAGTAAAAAAGAGTGTGAGGAACCTGGGAGTCACTTTTGATGGAGGGATGTCCCTAGAACGACACACCAAACAGCTGACCCGAAACTGCAATTTCCACTTGCGCAACATCTCTAAGCTCAGACAAATGGTCTCGGGTCCGGAGCTGGAGATGATTGTCCACGCTTTTGTTTCCTCGCGATTGGACTACTGTAACAGCTGCTTACATGTCTTAGTAAAAAAGACCTGGCTCGTTTACAGGTCGTCCAAAATTCTGCTGCAAGGCTTTTGACCCGCACCCACAGGAGAGCACCCACAGGAGAGCACCCACAGGAGAGCACCCACAGGAGAGCACCCACAGGAGAGAGCACCCACAGGAGAGAGCACCCACAGGAGAGCCCACATTACTCCTGTCTTGAAGTCCTTACACTGGCTCCCTGTCTCACACAGAATACATTTTAAAATTCTGGTGTTGACATTCAGGGCTCTTCATGGTCAGGCGCCTGAATACATCCAGGGCCTGATCCACCCTTATGTCTCCAACAGGAGTCTGAGGTCCTCTACTCAGAACCTGTTGATGGTCCTCCACTCAGAACCTGTTGATGGTCCTCCACTCAGAACCTGTTGATGGTCCTCCACTCAGAACCTGTTGATGGTCCCCCGGACTCGTTTCAAAACCAGAGGAGACAGATCCAGGCAGTTGCTCCTCGCCTTTGGAATGAGCTTCCTCAGTCTCTGCGTATCGTAGAGACTGTTGATGATTTTAAGTCCCAACTAAAGACACATTTGTTTGGACAGGCTTTCTCGCCCCACTGTTCATAGGCCTCTGTGAATGTAAATTGTGTTTTCTGTGTTTTGCTTTTATCTGACTTGTATGTGTATTTTGTATTTTAATGTGTGAAGCGCTTTGTGACCCTGGTCTGTGAATGGTGCTATACAAATAAACTTTACTTACTTACGCTCTCTCTTTGTTTCTGGACCAAAGACAATCATTTCAGTTTTGTCTGCGTTTAGCTGAAGGAAGTTGTTTTGCATCCACCCACTGATCTGTTGGATACAGTGAAGGAGTGAGTCCACTGGTCCATGTTCTCCTGCATTCAGTGAGACATAGATCTGAGTGTCGTCTGCATAGTTATGATAGGACACTTTGTTTCTGCGTATTAACTGACCTAACGGCAGCATGTAGAGATTGAACAGAAGAGGTCCCAGGATCGACCCCTGTGGGACTCTATCCTTTTCTATCCTACCCTACTCTACCCTACTCTACCCTACTCTACCCTATCCTACTCTACCCTACCCTACTCTACCCTAGTAAGTAAGTAAGTAAGTAAGCTTTATTTATATACCGCCTTTCACAGACCAGAGTCACAAAGCGGTTTACAATTGTTATTTTTGGGCACTTGTCCTCGCACTCCACACAGAGATGGGAGCGGGGTCGCCGAACAGGAGGCGCATGCCAGACCTATTGTGCATGTTTTTAGTGGTAGGGGAAACCAGAGTACCCGGAGGAAACCTACGCAGACACGGGGAGAACATGCAAACTCCACTCAGAAAGGCCCTTGTCCGGCCGGGATTCGAACCAAGGACCTTCTTGCTGAGAGGCGAGAGTGCTATCCACTCAGCCACCGTGCCGCCCACGGCCCTACTCTACCCTACCCTACTCTACCCTACTCTACCCTACCCTACTCTACCTTACTCTACCCTACTCTACCCTACTCTACCCTACCCTACTCTACCCTACTCTACCTTACTCTACTCTACCCTACTCTACCTTACTCTACCCTACTCTACCCTACTCTACCTTACCCTACTCTACCCTACCCTACTCTACCCTACTCTACCCTACTCTACCTTACTCTACCTTACTCTACCCTACTCTACCCTACTCTACCTTACCCTACCCTACCCTACCCTACTCTTAGATAGATAGATGGATAGACCTTTATTGTCCCCTGAGGGAAATTCATTTCAACAGACAGTGTCTGTGACAATGTCTGTGACAGTGTCTTTTGAAATGAATTTCCCTGTCACTGTCACAGACACTGTCACAGACACTGCCACAGACGCTATCACAGACACTATCACAGACACTATCACAGACACTATCACAGACACTGTCACAGACACTGCCACAGACGCTATCACAGACACTATCACAGACACTATCACAGACACTATCACAGACACTGTCACAGACACTATCACAGACACTATCAAAGACACTATCACAGACACTATCACAGACACTGTCACAGACACTATCACAGACACTCACAGACACTGTCACAGACACTATCACATACACTGTCACAGACACTATCACAGACACTATCACAGACACTCACAGACACTGTCACAGACACTATCACAGACACTGTCACAGACACTGTCACAGACACTATCACAGACACTCACAGACACTGTCACAGACACTATCACAGACACTATCACATACACTGTCACAGACACTATCACAGACACTATCACAGACACTGTCACAGACACTATCACAGACACTATCACAGACACTCACAGACACTATCACAGACACTATCACAGACACTCACAGACACTGTCACAGACACTATCACAGACACTATCACAGACTCTATCACAGACACTATCACAGACACTATCACAGACACTATCACAGACACTGTCACAGACACTATCACAGACACTATCACAGACACTGTCACAGACACTATCACAGACTCTATCACAGACACTATCACAGAAAATATCACAGACACTGTCACAGACACTGTCACAGACACTGTCACAGACACTATCACAGACACTGTCACAGACACTATCACAGACACTATCACAGACACTGTCACAGACACTGTCACAGACACTATCACAGACACTATCACAGACACTATCACAGACACTGTCACAGACACTATCACAGACACTGTCACAGACACTGTCACAGACACTGTCACAGACACTATCACAGACACTATCACAGACACTATCACAGACACTGTCACAGACACTATCACAGACACTGTCACAGACACTGTCACAGACACTATCACAGACACTATCACAGACACTATCAAAGACACTGTCACAGACACTATCACAGACTCTATCACAGACACTATCACAGACACTGTCACAGACACTATCACAGACACTATCACAGACACTATCACAGACACTATCAAAGACACTGTCACAGACACTATCACAGACACTGTCACAGACACTGTCACAGACACTATCACAGACACTATCACAGACACTATCACAGACACTGTCACAGACACTATCACAGACACTGTCACAGACACTGTCACAGACACTATCACAGACACTATCAAAGACACTGTCACAGACACTATCACAGACACTGTCACAGACACTATCACAGACACTATCAAAGACACTGTCACAGACACTATCACGGACACTATCACAGACACTATCACAGACACTATCACAGACACTATCAAAGACACTATCACGGACACTGTCACAGACACTATCACAGACACTATCACAGACACTATCACAGAAACTATCAAAGACACTGTCACAGACACTGTCACAGACACTATCACAGACCCTGTCACAGACACTATCACAGACACTGTCACAGACACTATCACAGACACTATCAAAGACACTGTCACAGACACTGTCACAGACACTATCACAGACCCTGTCACAGACACTATCACAGACAGGTTTCAGTAGCCACAGGATACACAGAAGGAGAGAGAAACACATACAACACAGGAACAAGGGAGAACTACAGACTGTTAAGAGCTGCTATAGCTGAGAGGTCTGTGAGAGGTCTGTGAGAGGTCTGTGAGAGGTCCGTGAGAGGTCTGTGAGAGGTCTGTGAGAGGTCTGTGAGAGGTCTGTGAGAGGTCTGTGAGAGGTCTGTGGGAGGTCTGTGAGAGGTCTGTGAGAGGTCTGTGAGAGGTCTGTGAGAGGTCCGTGAGAGGTCTGTGAGAGGTCTGTGAGAGGTCTGTGAGAGGTCTGTGAGAGGTCCGTGAGAGGTCTGTGAGAGGTCTGTGAGAGGTCTGTGGGAGGTCTGTGAGAGGTCTGTGAGAGGTCTGTGGGAGGTCTGTGAGAGGTCTGTGGGAGGTCTGTGAGAGGTCTGTGAGAGGTCTGTGAGAGGTCCGTGAGAGGTCTGTGAGAGGTCTGTGGGAGGTCTGTGAGAGGTCTGTGAGAGGTCTGTGGGAGGTCTGTGAGAGGTCTGTGGGAGGTCTGTGGGAGGTCTGTGAGAGGTCTGTGAGAGGTCTGTGAGAGGTCTGTGAGAGGTCTGTGGGAGGTCTGTGAGAGGTCTGTGGGAGGTCTGTGGGAGGTCTGTGAGAGGTCTGTGAGAGGTCCGTGAGAGGTCTGTGAGAGGTCTGTGAGAGGTCTGTGAGAGGTCCGTGAGAGGTCTGTGAGAGGTCTGTGGGAGGTCTGTGAGAGGTCTGTGAGAGGTCTGTGGGAGGTCTGTGAGAGGTCTGTGGGAGGTCTGTGGGAGGTCTGTGAGAGGTCTGTGAGAGGTCTGTGGGAGGTCTGTGAGAGGTCTGTGAGAGGTCTGTGGGAGGTCTGTGAGAGGTCTGTGAGAGGCCTGTGAGAGGTCTGTGAGAGGTCTGTGAGAGGTCCGTGAGAGGTCTGTGAGAGGTCTGTGGGAGGTCTGTGAGAGGTCTGTGGGAGGTCTGTGAGAGGTCTGTGAGAGGTCTGTGAGAGGTCTGTGAGAGGTCTGTGGGAGGTCTGTGAGAGGTCTGTGAGAGGTCTGTGAGAGGTCCGTGAGAGGTCTGTGAGAGGTCTGTGAGAGGTCTGTGGGAGGTCTGTGGTGTGAGAGGTCCGTGAGAGGTCTGTGAGAGGTCTGTGAGAAGTCCGTGAGAGGTCTGTGAGAGGTCTGTGGGAGGTCTGTGAGAGGTCTGTGAGAGGTCTGTGGGAGGTCTGTGAGAGGTCTGTGAGAGGTCTGTGAGAGAGGTCTGTGAGAGGTCTGTGAGAGGTCTGTGGGAGGTCTGTGGGAGGTCTGTGAGAGGTCTGTGGGAGGTCTGTGAGAGGTCTGTGAGAGGTCCGTGAGAGGTCTGTGGGAGGTCTGTGGGAGGTCTGTGGGAGGTCTGTGAGAGGTCTGTGAGAGGTCCGTGAGAGGTCTGTGAGAGGTCTGTGAGAGGTCTGTGAGAGGTCTGTGAGAGGTCTGTGAGAGGTCTGTGGTGTGGGAGGTCTGTGAGAGGTCTGTGAGAGGTCTGTGAGAGGTCTGTGAGAGGTCTGTGAGAGGTCTGTGAGAGGTCTGTGAGAGGTCTGTGAGAGGTCTGTGGTGATGGAGAGCATGTTAAAGTAACGGGGGGAGCAGTAGAGGAGAATAGGTTGAATGATTGAAGTGTAGAGTTTGAGAGACAGAGAGGACACAGAGCTGACGGAGAGGACACAGAGCTGACGGATTACTGTCTGTCAGGAGGGCCAGAATGGCAGTGTCAGGAGGGCCAGAATGGCAGTGTCAGGAGGGCCAGAATGGCAGTGTCAGGAGGGCCAGAATGGCAGTAGGAGGGCCAGAATGGCAGTGACAGGAGGGCCAGAATGGCAGTGACAGGAGGGCCAGAATGGCAGTGTCAGGAGGGCCAGAATGGCAGTGACAGGAGGGCCAGAATGGCAGTGTCAGGAGGGCCAGAATGGCAGTGACAGGAGGGCCAGAATGGCAGTGACAGGAGGGCCAGAATGGCAGTGTCAGGAGGGCCAGAATGGCAGTGACAGGAGGGCCAGAATGGCAGTGACAGGAGGGCCAGAATGGCAGTGTCAGGAGGGCCAGAATGGCAGTGTCAGGAGGGCCAGAATGGCAGTGTCAGGAGGGCCAGAATGGCAGTAGGAGGGCCAGAATGGCAGTGACAGGAGGGCCAGAATGGCAGTGACAGGAGGGCCAGAATGGCAGTGTCAGGAGGGCCAGAATGGCAGTGACAGGAGGGCCAGAATGGCAGTGTCAGGAGGGCCAGAATGGCAGTGACAGGAGGGCCAGAATGGCAGTGACAGGAGGGCCAGAATGGCAGTGTCAGGAGGGCCAGAATGGCAGTGTCAGGAGGGCCAGAATGGCAGTGTCAGGAGGGCCAGAATGGCAGTGACAGGAGGGCCAGAATGGCAGTGTCAGGAGGGCCAGAATGGCAGTGACAGGAGGGCCAGAATGGCAGTGTCAGGAGGGCCAGAATGGCAGTGACAGGAGGGCCAGAATGGCAGTGACAGGAGGGCCAGAATGGCAGTGACAGGAGGGCCAGAATGGCAGTAGGAGGGCCATAATGGCAGTGACAGGAGGGCCAGAATGGCAGTGTCAGGAGGGCCAGAATGGCAGTGTCAGGAGGGCCAGAATGGCAGTGTCAGGAGGGCCAGAATGGCAGTGACAGGAGGGCCAGAATGGCAGTGTCAGGAGGGCCAGAATGGCAGTGTCAGGAGGGCCAGAATGGCAGTGTCAGGAGGGCCAGAATGGCAGTGACAGGAGGGCCAGAATGGCAGTGTCAGGAGGGCCAGAATGGCAGTGACAGGAGGGCCAGAATGGCAGTGACAGGAGGGCCAGAATGGCAGTGACAGGAGGGCCAGAATGGCAGTGACAGGAGGGCCAGAATGGCAGTGACAGGAGGGCCAGAATGGCAGTGACAGGAGGGCCAGAATGGCAGTGACAGGAGGGCCAGAATGGCAGTGTCAGGAGGGCCAGAATGGCAGTGACAGGAGGGCCAGAATGGCAGTGACAGGAGGGCCAGAATGGCAGTGTCAGGAGGGCCAGAATGGCAGTGAGAGGAGGGCCAGAATGGCAGTGTCAGGAGGGCCAGAATGGCAGTGTCAGGAGGGCCAGAATGGCAGTGACAGGAGGGCCAGAATGGCAGTGTCAGGAGGGCCAGAATGGCAGTGTCAGGAGGGCCAGAATGGCAGTGACAGGAGGGCCAGAATGGCAGTGACAGGAGGGCCAGAATGGCAGTAGGAGGGCCAGAATGGCAGTGACAGGAGGGCCAGAATGGCAGTGTCAGGAGGGCCAGAATGGCAGTGTCAGGAGGGCCAGAATGGCAGTGTCAGGAGGGCCAGAATGGCAGTGACAGGAGGGCCAGAATGGCAGTGTCAGGAGGGCCAGAATGGCAGTGTCAGGAGGGCCAGAATGGCAGTGTCAGGAGGGCCAGAATGGCAGTGACAGGAGGGCCAGAATGGGAGTGTGACAGGAGGGCCAGAATGGCAGTGTCAGGAGGGCCAGAATGGCAGTGACAGGAGGGCCAGAATGGCAGTGACAGGAGGGCCAGAATGGCAGTGACAGGAGGGCCAGAATGGCAGTGACAGGAGGGCCAGAATGGCAGTGACAGGAGGGCCAGAATGGCAGTGACAGGAGGGCCAGAATGGCAGTGTCAGGAGGGCCAGAATGGCAGTGACAGGAGGGCCAGAATGGCAGTGTCAGGAGGGCCAGAATGGCAGTGAGAGGAGGGCCAGAATGGCAGTGTCAGGAGGGCCAGAATGGCAGTGTCAGGAGGGCCAGAATGGCAGTGACAGGAGGGCCAGAATGGCAGTGTCAGGAGGGCCAGAATGGCAGTGTCAGGAGGGCCAGAATGGCAGTGACAGGAGGGCCAGAATGGCAGTGACAGGAGGGCCAGAATGGCAGTGACAGGAGGTCCAGAATGGCAGTGACATCGGAATATTTGAAGTATGTGGTGGTTGAGGATGGGCTGATGCAGTCGTTTGTATAGAGGGTGTACAGGAATGGACTTAATACACACCCCTGGGGGGCGCCAGTGTTGGTGACGATGGTGGATGATGTCACAGAGTCAACTCTGACCCCCTGTGGTCTACTGCTGAGGAAGTTATGAGTCCAGCGAATGAGGAACGGGGCAGGTTGAGGAGTTGGAGTTTCCTGATTATTTGAGGGCGCTGAGCTGAAGTCGATAAACAGGATGCAGACGTACCAGCATCCTCTGTTCCTCGTCTGGCTCTGTATGCGAACTGGGGGGGGTCCAGCAGGGGTCTGACGGTCGGCAGGATGGAGTGAAGTATGAGTGGTTCTAGGCATTTCATGATGATGGAGGTAAGTCCAATGGGTCTGCAGTGGTTTGGCTCGGATGGTCTGGGCTTCTTGGGAACCGGGATTATTGTGGAAGTTTTCCAAGCTGTGGGAATGCGTGCCTTAAAGAAGATGGAGTGAAGGACCGGTGACAGTTGCATGGCACACTTCAGCACCTTGGCCGGGGTTCCTCAGGGCCTGGCCCACCTTGCACCTACTCAGTTGCAGGGGTAGATCCTGGGGCAGGGCACTGAGCAGCTCTTCACAGAGGGCAGAATGGTCGACTGAGTCAAAACGGGTGTAAAAGTTGTTCAATGAGTCTGTAAAGATGGTATGGTCTGTAGTTACGTGTGGTCTGTAGTTACGTGTGGTCTGTAGTTACGTGTGGTCTGTAGTTACGTGTGGTCTGTAGTTACGTGTGGTCTGTAGTTACGTGTGGTCTGTTGTTACGTGTGGTCTGTAGTTACGTGTGGTCTGTAGTCACGTGTGGTCTGTAGTTACGTGTGGTCTGTAGTTACGTGTGGTCTGTAGTTACGTGTGGTCTGTTGTCACGTGTGGTCTGTTGTTACGTGTGGTCTGTCGTTTAGTGTGGTCTGTAGTCACGTGTGGTCTGTTGTTACGTGTGGTCTGTAGTTACGTGTGGTCTGTAGTCACGTGTGGTCTGTAGTTACGTGTGGTCTGTTGTTACGTGTGGTCTGTTGTTACGTGTGGTCTGTAGTTACGTGTGGTCTGTAGTTACGTGTGGTCTGTTGTTACGTGTGGTCTGTAGTTACGTGTGGTCTGTAGTCACGTGTGGTCTGTAGTTACGTGTGGTCTGTAGTTACGTGTGGTCTGTAGTCACGTGTGGTCTGTAGTTACGTGTGGTCTGTTGTCACGTGTGGTCTGTCGTTACGTGTGGTCTGTAGTTACGTGTGGTCTGTAGTTACGTGTGGTCTGTTGTCACGTGTGGTCTGTTGTTACGTGTGGTCTGTCGTTTAGTGTGGTCTGTAGTTACGTGTGGTCTGTTGTCACGTGTGGTCTGTTGTTTAGTGTGGTCTGTAGTTACGTGTGGTCTGTAGTTACGTGTGGTCTGTTGTCACGTGTGGTCTGTAGTTACGTGTGGTCTGTTGTTTAGTGTGGTCTGTTGTCACGTGTGGTCTGTAGTCACGTGTGGTCTGTAGTTACGTGTGGTCTGTAGTTACGTGTGGTCTGTAGTTACGTGTGGTCTGTTGTCACGTGTGGTCTGTTGTTACGTGTGGTCTGTAGTTACGTGTGGTCTGTAGTTACGTGTGGTCTGTAGTTACGTGTGGTCTGTAGTTACGTGTGGTCTGTAGTCACGTGTGGTCTGTAGTCACGTGTGGTCTGTAGTTACGTGTGGTCTGTAGTCACGTGTGGTCTGTAGTTACGTGTGGTCTGTAGTTACGTGTGGTCTGTAGTTACGTGTGGTCTGTAGTTACGTGTGGTCTGTCGTTACGTGTGGTCTGTTGTCACGTGTGGTCTGTAGTCACGTGTGGTCTGTAGTTACGTGTGGTCTGTAGTTACGTGTGGTCTGTTGTCACGTGTGGTCTGTAGTTACGTGTGGTCTGTAGTTACGTGTGGTCTGTAGTTACGTGTGGTCTGTAGTTACGTGTGGTCTGTAGTCACGTGTGGTCTGTAGTTACGTGTGGTCTGTAGTCACGTGTGGTCTGTAGTTACGTGTGGTCTGTAGTTACGTGTGGTCTGTAGTTACGTGTGGTCTGTAGTTACGTGTGGTCTGTAGTCACGTGTGGTCTGTAGTTACGTGTGGTCTGTAGTTACGTGTGGTCTGTTGTTACGTGTGGTCTGTAGTCACGTGTGGTCTGTAGTCACGTGTGGTCTGTAGTTACGTGTGGTCTGTAGTTACGTGTGGTCTGTCGTTACGTGTGGTCTGTAGTCACGTGTGGTCTGTTATTACGTGTGGTCTGTAGTTACGTGTGGTCTGTAGTTACGTGTGGTCTGTAGTCACGTGTGGTCTGTAGTCACGTGTGGTCTGTAGTTACGTGTGGTCTGTCGTTACGTGTGGTCTGTAGTCACGTGTGGTCTGTTATTACGTGTGGTCTGTAGTTACGTGTGGTCTGTAGTTACGTGTGGTCTGTAGTTACGTGTGGTCTGTTGTTACGTGTGGTCTGTAGTCACGTGTGGTCTGTAGTTACGTGTGGTCTGTAGTCACGTGTGGTCTGTAGTTACGTGTGGTCTGTAGTTACGTGTGGTCTGTAGTTACGTGTGGTCTGTTGTCACGTGTGGTCTGTTGTTACGTGTGGTCTGTAGTCACGTGTGGTCTGTTGTTACGTGTGGTCTGTAGTCACGTGTGGTC